AGGTGGAGGAATGGAGCGACTGAACCTGCAAAGAAAATTTAATATCATGTTTTTTTCAGATGTTTTCATTTTCTGCTGCGCTATACCCTCTTACCTATCTGCACCATGATACCACTTCTGTTACTGACCCCAAGAGTACGACCCCCCATGGACCAGCCCAACAGGTACGACCCCCCTGTCGAGGATTTCCTCGACCGATATTCACCCTGCTCTCCTTCGAGATATCGACTGTAACTATAGCGATCTTGCTGTCGTTACAAAAACGCTTCTCAACGACTGTTCCGGAACATATTTATTGCGACCTCAGCTAAGTGAATCTGTGAAATCCTGACCTGCTCAGCTCCTTGAAAGCCTTTTTGAGCTACAAAAAGAAAATCCGCTTTACGATCATGCTGTATTCAAGACTTCAAAAACTGAACTGAAACTGTTCATCAAGAAAGAAACCTATTTCCTTTCATTTCCTTGGCTAGAATTGAGAAATCTGTAAAAGTTATTTCCACCACCACACCATTTTCACTTTTTCTCAATGTTCACGAAGTTGTTCGAACATTTTTCCGAAAAAAAAGCAGTGGCTTTCCCGTACGTTTTTCAGTAATTTTGACTCCGTAGCTTTGTCCCGACAGATTCTTTTTCGGTTTAGTCTCTCGACGTGACTGGGTAGTTCCACCCACATAGTTTGATGCGGTGTGAGGTGGGACAAACGGCTCAACAGTGTGGTCAATGATAAATAAAAACAACTCATGTAACTGTTTAGCAGTCATAATTCGGTTTGGGAAAGTGAATTATGACTGCTAAACAGTTACACGAGTTGTTTTTATTTTAGAGTCAGAAAACGAGGGGTCAGATGTTAATGGCGGGCTTCGCGCACAGAGAGTGCCGATGGTACCAAGCTTACAACTCTACTCCTAGCAGTAGCGCGAAAAAAAAATTGGATAGAGGTCGGCGAAGGGAATGAAAGCTGCCTCTGGAGGAAAGGGCACGCACAAAAGTGCGCGGAGTTTGCCTGCACGTCATATTGCGGTTCAAGGGACAGTCCAGGGAACGGGAAAAAATGGGGAAGGTCGGCGATGGAGAGGTGAATAACCGCTGTTGGTGGACGGAACAGCATAGAGGGCGGAGTTTGCTGCCATCCTTATGACTGTGTTCGAAAAAACCCGGAAGACAGAAAAAAGTGGACAGAGGTCGGGAAAGAAAACGAGGTAAACTGATCATCGTATCCACCAAGGTGGGCGGAGTTTATTGCCACTTTATAAATTTCAGAGATAATCCAGAAACCATGAAAAAAGTTTGTGGAGGTAAGCGAGGAAAAATGGGTTTAGCAGCGGCGGGAACTGACCGAAGTGGGCGGAGTTTCTACGGAGCTTCATAACTTGGTTCCGAGGAGTTCCGGAGATCGAAAAAGGGCGGTCGATGAAAAAAAGAAGACTAACTGCTGGTGTTGGACAAGGATGACCGAAGTGGGTGGGGTTCGCCACTAAACTACATTTCCGGTTCAGGGACAGACCAGACCGGAAAAAAGGCGTGAGGAGGCAAAATTGGCAGATACAATGCTTTCGGTAGAAGGGGTATGCACTAAAGTGGACAGAGTTGGCCACGAAACTTCATGACTCGGTTTCAAGAAGATTCGGAGACAAGGGAAAAAGTGGAGAGGTCGGTGAAGGGAAGGAGTGAAACGCTATTGGTGGGTGGGGCATGCACCAAGTAGGGCCAAGTCTACAATGATTTATAAATCAGTTCAGAGGCAGCCCACACATATAAAAAGCGGACAGTGGTTGACAAGGGGAGTTCAGAAACTATCGGTGGTGGGACGTGCGACGCGGTGGGCGAAGCCGAAATCCACCGTCGCAATGTTGTCCAGATAGCACGGAGACCAAAAAGAAAGCGGATAGAATCTAGCTCAAAGTAGAAATTCACGTTAGGACCCATATGGGAGGAGAAACTGATCTAGTGGTAAGACAAACGGACCTCCTAAGGGAGCGAACAGGCACGCAACTGGCATCGAAGGACATGCTCCGGCGGTTTGGAATAGCCTTCTCCGCGACGCAACTGGCGCGCTATTGGCGCGGTACGCCCCCACTCGTGTCTCCTCGTGTCCCTGTCACAGCGTCTGATCGTTAGGCAGAGAGAGAGCATAACGTTGAAGAGGGCAGCGCCGATGAGAGTCGCATCAATGCAGAAATCAACGGGCAAGGGAAGGGGTCTCATTTCTCGGTTCTAGACATTTTTTCTCGGCTTTTCCTTCCCTTTTTCATAACTGACCATCTGCAGCTTTATCTCCAAAGGGCCGTCTTATCGTGGAACTTGCCTTTAACAGAGGAAATCAAACATTCGTGTTGTATAAAGCTGAATTTGTGAATTTTCGCCGCATCTTCCACATCGTCGCAGATGTTGGGCGCACAACAGCGAGTGCCGCCAGCTGATGCAATGTGAGCGACTAGGTGCATTATCAGTCAACACTGGAAGATTTTTATTTTCACCTCATCCACACATATATTTGAAAACGGCAGTAAACCCGATCCTACCCTTACACCGAGACTTTTAACGAATGAAGTTCCTTTCTGGACCTCCATGAGATCATAATTTTCTGAATATGAGATTATTCTTTCTTTAATATCCTTGTTCAGTCAAAAAGCTTCTGCTTGGTATCTGAGAGCTTTCGTTTGGGATTCCATCGTCTTCTTCAACAACGTAGCCGCTGCTGCCTATCCGCCACAACAGCATACGAGCGCTCATGTTTGTTCGCTCCACGCTCAACTCTGAAATGAACTAAGCAGTGAAATCATAACACGTTGGAGACCGCGCATGTTTTACGTTTTGCGGCCGCGTGGGACTTCAGTGAAATTTTTAGGAATCTTATCAAGCAAATTGGAAAGAAAAACCTACTGTATAATGCAGAAGAAACTTATCGATGAAATGGAAAAGAAAAAAAAGAAAAACCTAATATTTGTTTCCGAAATGCGAGCTGAAAGGTCCTATGCGGTCGACGGACTGCAGCCCACATATGGGCTGCATGGGCTCCAAAGGTGTTAAATGTTTAAAGGTCATTGGTACGATAAGATCGATGTTTGAGAAGGAATATTAGGGTAGTGAAGGAGGGAAGATATGCCTACCTCCGAGGTGGGAGCTTGACTTCCGAAGGAGTCCGTCCAAGAGCGCACCCACGGCATCCAAGCAACCCCTTACCCAGGATAACGGTCACCATCACGGCAGCTACTGTCTGCAATGGAGGTCCCGCCTACGATGGGTGATGGCGAGGGATTGCTGCCTTTGGCGGGAGAGAGGGAGAGAGTAAAGGAGAGCAATGCATTCGCCTCATTTGTCGTAGAATGTCGTTCAGTGCGCAAAAATAAGGTCGTAATATAGGATTTTGAGCCCCTTCCCTTGCGTTTCTCGACACCACAGAACCATTCATCTCCATTGCTGTCACCGCAAGGGAGAACCATCGGACTCTGTTGGGGTGATTTTCCCAGGCACCTCAACGCTTCCTCAACATTTCTCATCATTAGCGCTTCATATCCACCACATGAAAAAGCCGGCCCAGTTTATCAGAAAGTGGTCCACATGTTCAATGATCCTTATCAGGAATATTGCACCGGCACTAAAGACAAGCGCGTGATCAGAGATTTGTGTCTTGTGAGGATGAATTCCGGGCACACATAATTTTTGACAGTTCAGATTGTTGATAGACTTCGCCAAAAAAATAATACGCGCGGCGTCCGCACTACCAATCCAAATTAGAATTTATAATCAGAACCTTATAAAAGATGAACAAGTCAGTGTTTTTATCCTCCCAGACAAGTCTGGTACCAATTAACCGACCCCGGAGGGATGGAAGGCTTGGTTGGCCCGGGCGACTCACGACCCAGGATTTGATCCCCGGACCGCTCGCGTGGTAAGCGTGCCACTTGCCACTACACCACTTCCGCCCTATCAGTTCAAGATATGGGCGAAACTAAGTTATTCTAAGAAACCGAGCAATCATGGGCACATTCTGAATTATTCAGATCATGCCACTTGTATACACCATTCGTTGTATCCGCGACTCTACGCTATGTACATTTGCTCAGAAATCTTATGAAGTTGTTTTGAAAGGATTGATTCGTCTTGCAGCTATGTAAGTTTCTCCTTTCCTAATGAACATTGAATACGAGTCCATTTTTTGCCGCTGAATAGTTGCCTTGATCTAGGACTGTGTGCATATTCGTTAATACTGGACGTTGTGATTTTGCTGATCGCGTTTTTGTCGAAGCTCAGTCAACTAAGCTATCACCTGATAGAAATGGATACGGTGGGGTTTATCTTGATCACTAACGTTTTTATGTTGTTGCCCTTCGATTGCAATATTATTTTTCAGGCGAAATTTGGGAATCGAATTTTAGCGTCAGCCTTCCTTCCTCACCGGATCTTAATCCACGTTTATGTCGTGAAGTAGTGAAACAAGGTGTGCTAGTCCGCCTCCTCAGGACTGACATTGCTACAGTATCCGGAGAATTTGTGGATCTCCTGAAACTGTACAATATCGAAGATTCACAGGTCAATTTTTGGAAGGGTTTTTTCACCTCTGAAACTACTATATTCCGATTTCAGGTGGTGGTTGATTTGAACGCGGAACTACTCAAAGTCTCAGCTCATGTTGACGAAGTGTTTGAGGAGACAATTAGTCCTCCAACGTTAGAAAACTTGGTGGAATGGATCGTTAGGTTAATATTTTAGCTGAACATCCGAATTTTAGTTTCTTTATAATTCGCTGAGTATCTTTTCAAAGCTTACAAAGATTATGGCATGATTGAAACCACGAACTCTCTCAAACTTTCAAAGATACGCCTCAGGTGTAATGCAGCTGTAGGATATAGAAATCATGTCAAATTGGACGTAGAGATGATAACTCCGATAAACCTCTGATAACCTATAACCCACACAAGGTAACGCATCGTTTAAAAAAAATGTCAGAAATTAGGCGTTGACCGATCTCTTTTGGAGTACGCCTCGCTTTCTCCTCCCCTTCAAAACTCAAATGGCGTCTTTAGTGGTTATGCCTTTTTGTACGTGCGGAGATGCCTACGGCCAGCCATCATAAATTTGGTGATTGATGCTCTTAAAGGCAAACCCCGGGATTAGCCCGACTAGTAGGAAGGATACCGCGAGGGAAATTGTAAGACCCGTACCTACCTAGATCACTTCAACTTGGTCGCGAAAATCGCGCGGTTAGGGCGCTAATCCTTACGGGCCTCCAACCATCGAACGCTTCCCACCCACCGCGAGATGTGGTGAGATCAGCGTGCATTGATGTAGAGATCAGCGTGCTCTCTCAAACGACGTTCTCTCTCGCGTGTTTTGACCTCTCTGATCGCCCTGTCTTGCCGTCGTACCACATCCGACCTTTTTGAAGGTTAAGGCCTTAAGTTCAGCGTTCCCAAAGAGTTCTCTCGCTTCCCTCTCCACTTTGGGGTCGCTCCGCAGCTAAGCTATCACTGCGAAGCGCTCTTAGCACCAGTTTAATTCCGGAGTTTGCCTTTAATGGGAAAATTCAGGCCAGCCTGATCGGCCAGAAGTGGTTGGCATGCTCGGTTAGTTGGACGGGTTCCATCCGCCCATTCAATCCCATGGCCATGCTTGTATAATATAGCGCCATGTTATCTACGTGGTAGATGAAAAATAAAGGATAAAGCATTCGACGGATCATTTTTTTGGGAGGCACCATGCGTTCTTTTCCATTCAGAATCGTAGGCATTTGAATGTGACACAATGACTTGCTGGGAGCCGATGTAAAAATCAGTGCGTCAATCCTCCCAGACAAATCTGGTACCGATTTGCACTCCGTGGGGATAAAAGAGTCCTTTGGTTCAGTGGCCCAAAAGTCAAATTTGCATACCGCCCGCGTGGTGTAGCACGCAATTTTGATTGATTGGTGATTGAAATTCTAGATTATAATTGCGGCCGTAAAGATGTATATGGTACTGTGCGTGACGTAAGAGCCCTACTTTTCGTTCCCTGTAACAATATTCTTTCATCATCAAATACTTACAAGGCGAAAAGTGCATTTACGCTTGCCGCCCTAGCGAACATGTTCAAGATATGCTGCCGTGTTTCATCTGCAATTCTGCGAGATGTTCGCAGTATGTGTGACGATGCATCATTACACTTGCTGCTTTGTGCTGGGGATTTCAATACAGAGTGAGTGGTTTTCCACGTTTCCTGATTCTACAACTGTTTCCATTTCATACTATACAAAGAATCATTAATGAGGGTTTTTGTCGACGAAAGCTTATGAAAAGGAAAGTGGGGGTAGGCGGGAAACAAGGTAGTTATGCCCTAACCCATTATGTATTTTTGAGAAACATTCGCGACGCGAACTGCGGCGTTCAAGCAGCAGTTGAAGGAGATTCCTGCGATAGGAACGAAGGTTCAAAGAGTAATTCAACTAAGTGAGAGAAAGGCGGACCCCTTTATGGTGCGCGATCAAGGACGCGATTCGCATTGCAAAGATATGTCGTCGGCCGTTACTGGAATGCTTGTTTGGCGGCAGTCGCAATGCCGCACAGACATAATCTGACTGCTTCGCCCTGGCAAGTGAGTGGGTGATAAGATACGTAGTGTTTGGAGAGAGCACAGCGATGAGAGTCGCATCAATGCGCAAATCAACGGGCGAGGAAGGGGTCCCATTCGGGTCCGGCCGTTTCAATGGTTTCTTCTTCATCCCTGCTCCACTGACCACCTCTACCCTTATTTCCAATGAGCTAACTTTTCATCGTAAATTCTGCCTTTAAAGGAAGTGGCCACGATAATTTCTGGAGACGACAAGGAAAGCTACGTACTGGAGGTAGGGCCCCTGTCCAACGAGACGACAGGTAGTGTTTATTTCAGTGGCGCCTCATCAACTGAGTGATAAGGCGCCGAAATCTACTTCCGGATAGCAAAAACCAAGACTTATCGATGTGGAAGGGATTGCAATGGGAGCGTGCTAGATATGGTACCGTTGTCGTTATCGTCCGATTTTCATTTGGGAGTGCACTACATCCCAAGCAGCCGTATCTTCTTATCTTATGGTATCTATCTTCCATGGGGTTATGCTTGCCAAAAATTATCTAAGTCAGATCTTATCGATTGACGCGCGGAGAGCAGTTCACCTGCGAAGCTGTCGTGATCGCTTCTTTTTAAAGGCACAACCCAGGCAGAGGTCGTGTGAACGCTTCCTTCGGTCTGTAGTATAGACCCTAGAGGACAATCACAAATGTGGCGTTCTCGTGCACGGAAACCAACCGACAAGAGCGCTTGGGCCTTGCAAAGTAAGCTGCTGAAGCTGCAGATTTTTTTCCCTTATCAGGCTGTTGTCTGGCGCTCTCTCATCTGTAGCGCTCTCTCTCGCCTCATACCTCTCCTCTCCGCGCCTTAGTATCTCATTCCCTTAGCACAGCCGACTAGCAAGGTGAGCGAGCCCTTAACCTAAGCGTTTTTGACGGATTCTTTTCCTTTTTTCTTTACTGCTGGCCCACTTCCCACCAATACATTCGCATTCGAGAGTGTGTAAAGAGCACCACCAATGGGATGACTGGTAGCTTTGGAACAAAACACAATCCGCTCATAGTTGTGGTACAGGCTCGGTGTGCACGAATTGCAAGAGATTATCCAGTTTTTTAAAGGAGTAATGTGCAGTCACGTGTGCTATATAAACACTGAGGACACGTGGGGGGACGGTTGCTAGCATAATTTGTAGAAGGATGGGCTGGCCAAACCACTGTTCGATAACTTTTTAAACAACGTTTTTTTCAGTGAATGTAAGCTTTCTCACCTTTACAAATTGCGATCTGAACTTGAAGCACAACGATTTGATCGACGACATATTATGGCTATCAACATTGATATAGGTCAGCGCTGCTTTGTATTGACAAATAGGGGAATCCTAGAAAAATCTTACGGAATAGTAATAAGCATTTGCTTGCTATGAGCTCAATAAGGTGAAACGTAATAGGAGGCGTTGAAGTGCGCGGGCGCGGCCCTGCGATACCATCTGGGCGTGTTATTCCCGAAAATAAGAAGTGCGAAGCAAAGAAAGTCCGCGCGAGCCCTGAAGCGCATAAAAAAAAGCTAGTATTAAGAGCCTCCTTGCCTGCTCAAGTCAACGTCGTACGACGCAGAGGTGCAGTGCGACGAGGAGGTAGATCACGCAAGGGAAACTCCTACTAAATTTGCGCAGGCACCGAGGACGCGTTTTTGACGGACGGTTCGCGTCGCAGCGGTCAGGCAAGAACGCACATTCTTATTGTGCACTCGAGTAGCAAAGGGTGCTGTGATGTTGAGAATGCTCTGAGCAGGAACGCTGCTAGCTGGCCCACGGAGAGAATTGCTCTGATCAAGACCTGTACTTTTTGCACGTACTGTGCTGCTATTTTCAACGTGATCACGTGACGCTAAATCTAACGATATTAAGGCCTGAGGAACAGGCGTTGGCGTTGTCTCATCCACTCGAGGACGGTTACGCGTCCTCCAGCTATTTAGAATGGTAGAAGCATTCGTACTGTCAATATCCAGGCGCACTTTCTACTCTAGCTGTGCTTCGCTCGAGGTTTTGAGAAGTGACTTATCCTTCACAGATCCTTTTTAGAATCTGGCACAACACGTTTATTGATATCTCCCCGGAGCCGCTCTCAATAATTATTACACCTGGTCATGGACGTCGTTACGTTCGTATCTACACATTCCTGGCTGACCTCACTCGAGCGGTATCAGCATTGGAAAAGGTAGCATGGCATATTCTAGTAGTCTAATTGTAATCTTTATCTGTAATCTTATGCAGACATTACTGATTATTTATTTTATTTGGAAAACTGTGATGTGAGGTCTTTTGTTAAGGTAAATCTTCGCGAGCTCGAGTTGGAGTAGAAAATCGTAGGTTGTTGTTCTACTGCTGTTTGTCTATGCTCCGATTGGTTGCTGGCACTCGTGACCACGTCCTGACTGAAGTCGATGCCGTCTTGGCAACTTTTCAAGGTTTGCCTCGTTGAACGTTCTCATTTGTGAAAACCTAGACGTTTTAAGTTTAGGAGGACTCAGAACGCGTGAAAACTATCGATCTTGCTATCGACGCTCACAGGTTTGATTGAATGAAGTAAATCGTTGTTCAGATGTCACAAAAAGAAGATTTAGGAGAGCCATGAAAAACATGATGCAGCGGACGCTATTGGACATGAGTAATCTGACGACAGGACGAACAATAGGAGTGGTGAGAACTATCCTTTACTCTGTATAAAGTTCCAATGTTTGTCATCATAGTGACCTATGGCCAAAAAAATTCGACATTTCCAAATCACAAGAGTATACAGGGGGGGGGGCCAAAAAAAAAGAGTCACTTTGCCTATGGCGTATATCATCGAAACTTTTCGTCGCAAAGGATGCCGCTGTTATCGAGAGTCGGCGAAATGTTCCTTAGATGTCTCCTCATAAGCTGAATCAGGCCCACACGTTCGCTGTTCCACCGTCTCCAGAATGACGTCATCTGTCATCACCGTCGAGCTCAAGGAGGCCTACCATAATCGCTCCTTCTGAAGCTGCTACATAATTTCTTCATCGGAGAACTGGTGAATGGCCTTACCAGGGAGGTCTTTCAGGAAATGGTGAGCTTTCAAAACGGTTTTTTGCATGATATAGGGACACATGCATGGAACACCAAACTGTAGTTCATTTTTCCTGAGCGGCCCTCTGAATACCAAAAAAGGAGCGAAGAAAAAATTCTTAAGAACTGCCGTTCTAACCGCTTTGTTGTGACGTACATCGCGCACACAGCGTTGACCAGTGTCATATCAAAAGGTTCTCATGAATTTTCCATTGAAAACAATGCGGAATTCGGTCAAAAATAAAACAATCACCTTGGCATGTATTGAAACTATTGTGGAACATTCATCAGCGCCGTCTGAAGCTGCTATCAGCGGCAGTCGGATGGCCTAGTGGTTAGTGGTGCGGTCTGTGAATCGGAAGGAAAAGGGCGGTGTTGATGGTTCGACTCCTCACACTGCCAAAGTTTTGCTTTTTTTCTATTGTCGTTTTCCTGTGATCGTGCACTCCTGCGCATGCATATAATGCGGATTTATGTTCGTTTTGAGATCCTACGACTGCAAATTCGTATTGGTCTTTCACGAACTTTGTGTGTGCATCGATATAAATTTTATAATTCATAAACAAATTGCCCCCGGAAGGCTTGGAGAAGGGAATAGGAGGGATCCGTCCTAGTGATTACCACGGAACCCGAGGTTCTCCCTCGCAGGGCAAGTCTCACACAACGTTGCGTTTTTTGCAGCTGATCTAGCTATCGGCAGTAGACCCAGCCAGAAGTATGACCAGAAGCCCAGCCTGCCATTGTTTGACAAGGAGGAGAACCTAATGACATAGTCATTGCTTTTCTCCAATCGCCGGCTTGAGTGTCTACCGTCGTCTATTACAGAAAAGGATTTCTAATTCCGTGAAAGATGACAAGGAGGTCGCCTCCAAATTATCTACCAATGAGCCTGACGGGCTAGTGATCTATCTACCCATGGTCCAACTGTTCGAAGTTGGGACGAAATCTTAATTTTCCCTGAAACTTTCGGGTTAGGGGTTATTCGGCGTCCTGATTACGAATATTCTATTTCGTGTCGCAACTTTCTCCACCAGTTTTTTAGTCAAAATCTACGTATGAAGGTTGCTGTTGCTCCTAATTATAGATATGACATCTGCTATTCACGCTGACACCCTTTTTCGTAAACTTTTGGAACGCGAACAGAAAATGCAAAAAATTGTCACTGTGAGGATTCGAACCACGGACCACTTCATAACCCCTTTTTTGGTATTCAGAGGGCCGCTCAGGAAAAATGAACTATAGTTCAGTGTTCCATGCATGTACCCCTATATCATGCAAAAAACCGTTTTGAGAAAGCTTGGCATTTCCTGAAAGACCTTCCTCGTTAGGGACACTAGCTCTGACTATGCAACATGGCTTTTGACCAGCGTTTAAGAGACGTTGTAATCGTCTATGGTTTCTCGACGACATCGTTGAGCTCGTACCGCGAACCATGTTTCCGTGGGAAAATCTTCTGATGTCGTCGGTGTAGAAAGCCCCTATGTATTTTTTTGATAGAATAGAATGTGCTCTTCAATATGCAATTGAGCTCATTCGGTTTGGTTTTGGCAAAGTGTAATTAATTCTGTTTTGAATGTGAGTGAGTGACTCTTTTTTGCCCCCCCCCCCCCCCGTGAATCGTGAGAAGGCCCACCCACGGCGGAGCAGGGCTACTTTTCTCGTCCGTGGTATTTACTAAAAAAAATGCACAATGTTTCGGTACATTCTAGAGGCGGAAAACGTGAATGGAACCCGGCGGAGGGGTAGAACTGCGAAATGTATTCGGTCGGAGGTGCATCGAGGTAGGCGGAGCAAGTTTGGAATTGCAGTAGCGCCATCGTGAACATTCTGAGTCTGCGAAAAGTATTTTGAGGTAGTGGAGAGAAGAATAAGTGTTTATACAGAGAAGGGTTTGCCATCGACCACACTGAGGTGATGCTACGCTCTATCTTGAAGCTGCGAGGTGATAGCGCCCCCATTCCAGTGTTTGTGGCTATGGTACCTGGCGTAGGTTATGATCGCCCACCACCGGATGTGGTGCGGGGCTGATAAAGGGCAGAAATCAGCTGTATAGGGTGCGTTGGTTGGAATCAGCAATGTTCGGCATGTTCGAAAGCTTGCTTGGACAAGCCTTTCTCTTGAGCCGGCTTGCATCGCCGCTGCTAGGGAAGGGGCTTGTTGCCGACTGTTTCAAAGGTTTTTCTCATTTTTCTCCGATGGCGTTTCCATTGCCACATTTCTTTACCCCCATTTCAAGCCGGAAATGCTTCATCGGGATCTCACCCGTGCGTTCAAGTTGCTCCATTCCATAACGCTGCTGCCCCATATGGTGCGCACAACTGTCTCGAAATTTTGGTACTGAATGAAGGTAGACGTAACCAAAACTAGTCGTGGAGCCCCTGTTGTAAAGCTCACCTCTTGTTGCCAAATTTCCTCACGTGCTCCCTTCTGTAGAGGAGAACGATCAACCTAGGCAGTTCAAAGTTTCGGTTCCACTCAATGGTCTAAATTATAGTCTGTTGAGTTTTAGATATGTGAAAGCTGTGTTCGATTCGCACAGGCCATGAATTCCGGTGATGATGCGAGTGCTTTCATACATCATCGTACTTTCGACGAGCACGCTCAGCTGCTTCGCGAGAGTGGGTTTTACTGAACTT